GGCACGGAAAACAGCCAGACCAGCCAGTTAAATACATAAGAAAAAGGTGCCCACATGGCAACTCTCACCCAATCAGCCTGCGTTCGCGAAGGTCTAAACGGACTGGGGCCCAGCTCCAGGGAGAGTCAGGAGGTCTTTCCTGAACCAGGAAGCTCTGTGGAGTGCACTCCACAGACAGACACTCCTCCCTTCCTGCAAGTGGTCCCAGCTTTTATCCCCAAGCAGACACCTGGCCTTTGTTCACCCAGTGCGGGACCCCTGGGGCTCATTTCCCTCATGGCTCTCCCTGCAGGGCCGGCCGCACCCTGGGGGGAAGCTATAAGGCAAACTCACCACCTCTTTATGAAGGGCTGTGGGAATCACCCATATGTCAACCTTAATTCAGGGCTCAGGGTTCAAACCCCAGCATTTCAAATGGGTTTGAAAGAATTAGTTCAGGATGTACTAAGAAGTTTTACATCTTCTAAATTCCAAATTTCTGATCCATGTGTCATCAAGAAGCAAAATCTCAAAATAGGACGCTATGGCTGTCTCAAAAGATTGCTATGAACATAGGTAGTGATCTACGTTCAGTTCACTAATGCTCAGAACAGTCACACAATAAGAACGCATTCCCAGTTGCCAAGCATGCATCTTAAATTGTTCTTCTTTTAGTTCTGGAAGTATTACACATTTGGGCTTGCCTTAGGCATGACATTCAAGAAGGAATGCAAAACATACATGCTCTTAAAAACTGCCACAAAGTACTGCTAATACTCAAATTCACTGAAGAAGACTAAATAGGCAACATCAGATACCTATGAAAATTATTTTGAAATACATATGGAAGCTCTATTAGATTATAGTTTTCTAAAATAGTAATTTTCTACTGCTGGGGCAAATAGATGGGAATACGCAAAGACTCACAGCTTTAGGCAGTCCATTTAACTTAGGTGGTACCTGTTCAGTAGCAGACTGGACAGCCAATTGAATGAGTGGAGTCAATACATAGCAAAAGGTTTTTTGACATTTTTTGTGTGTTTTGGTTACTTGTTATATTGCTAATGTACAGTTCTAGGGTATAACTCACGTAATGGATAGAAATTCACTGAGCATTAATGTCTTGAAGAAAATCCTTATCCCATTGAGAGAAACCTTTTGAACTCATGTAGAAAATTATACTTGCTTCCAGTAACAGCAAAGCCAAAAACTGTATCTATATAAGTGTAATTTGATAATTAATGCCAGCAATATCAGACAACAAAGTGAATTTCATTTTCTGATTACAATGCATAGTGTGCTTTTAATGCTTTATATTATCCAAGGTTGCTATGCAGCTTGCCTAATACCATCAAATCTAAGGATCTCCTGGTAAAAATATTTTGGCAATAGCAATGTCACTTATCTAATTTATGGATATGGACTCTTCTCCATTTTGCTACAAAGAAAATGTTGAACCAAAGCATGTTGTGGTGAGCAGAGCCCACCCTAGGCAGGGATCGGCGTGCGGAAGATCTCGCGATGTAACGGAAAGCTCAGACTGCCCACGAGGGGCCTTGTGGGCGTGGCTTGTCATATATAAGCAATTGCAGCTGTGCAATAAACGCCATTTGCAGCATCCTTCACATTGAAGCCTGTGTCTGCTCGTGGCACCCAACGGTAGAGGTTGGGTGGCAGAGATCCCCGGCTCCGGGTGTCGGTAACGACAAAAGCAGACTAATATCTCCATGGTTACTGAGACTTTCTTTACAGAAGTACCTTATTCTCAAATCACTGTGAATCTACTACATACCTTAGAACATACAAAATACATGTATCCTTACCTCTTTCTGAAGCTAACAAAACAACTAACTACTAAGAAACTGTGCAGTAAGAAAAGTTGCACACCTTTCATGATTAAGTGTCACCTATCCAGCAGTCCTGGCAGGTGAAAAATAAAGTCTCACTGTCTCAAACCCAGTCCACAAGAGCTCAGAGTCCTGGGCTTTACTCAACTATACCACAGCATTTACAAAGTTTTAGCAATGCATTTATGTTCCAAATAGCACAAAAGTTTAAGCAATTTGAATTTTTCCATTTGTGAGTGCAACCACTCTTTCAGAAGTCGCAGAGAAATGGTTAATGAACCTCAACACCACTTTGATTATACAGAAGATATGCTTTTTTTCCCCTGTATGTGTTCATTATCCTACCTATGAAAGTGAGGGGCTAATGAGGGAGGAAAATACATTTCCCTTTGTAGTCATCTCCAAATTGTAACCTTGACTTGAAACATCTTTAATTCACTATCATAGTGACACAGCACAGTGCCACGCTGTTCTATACATATCAGCACAGAGTGCAGTCCCTGCAAAAATTTTTGAAGAAATCACCAAGCACAGCTACCCTCAGATGGACAATTCTCAGATACAAGAAAGTAGCAAAAACCATTCAGCGACTAACTGATGCACTGACACCTGCTTCATAATCTGTCTTACTACATTTTGTACATTAGTCCCCTTTCTGAAAAAAAAACATTTCTAGATATACAGTGTGACTTATATATTGTGATGAAATTTTTAGCACTCTTGATTTTAACCTTTTGCATTATCTCTGAACAGGACCTCAAACATCTCTAACTGAACTTGATACCTACTGATTTTCTACACGTTAACATGCACGTTATTCATGAAGACATTTAAAAGCCTGTTTTACAGAAGCATGGATAGCGATGTTGTCTCTTCGAGTGAACTCATATCCTTTGTCTTTATGTGCTTACAGGAAAGACTTGAGTCCAAGTTAATTAACTAGATTCCCTTTTTAGGCATATGGAAGAAAAAAAGATTTTTTCAGTCATTGCCCATGTCGTTCTGCAATAGGTATCTAAAACATGGTAGAGGAAACATGCTCCAAAGCATGCACTTATGTCTAGTAACTACAGCCCAAGTCAAGGTAACTAGGTGATCTATAGCTATGGACATTGTGGGCACCTACAGTTAGACAAAATGAAGGTAATCTTTAGTAACAAAATGTTTTCTTCAAAATCCATAACATCATGACTTCAAATACCCTCGCTTATTATTAAGAGGCATTCCTTGAAAATGCAACGCAGTGCTTCCAACATACAACGAGTATTTAATAAATTTAATTTTAAAAATTAATTTAAATTTAATTTCACATTTTTATATCAATAATTTTTAGTAAATATTTAATAACATTTAATTTAAAACAAAACAAGCAAAAAACAAACAAACATACGAAAAAACCCAAGGTATTGTCTCACCATGGCAGGAGCCATCCTCTTCTTCATAACCTACACTGCAGATGCACCGTCCCAGAGGCACAAGCCAATCCCCATCTGCTCCACAATATAATTTAGGAGTATCCCTTTCCTCAGCACTCTTCACACAGGAGCCCCGTACTTCCACCAAAGAGGAAGAATCAACTCTTGGAATAGTATCAGGAAACACAGCCAAATTGCGGACCGTGAAAGGGCACTTTTTGTAATAAACACGGACTGAGACCAAAGCAATGCATGCTCCAATGTCCTGAAAAGCAAGATAAAATCCTTTCTTGTTTATTGGTCCAACCTCACGAACTTCTGTATTGAGTTTAAGAATACGGTCGCCTAAGTCCATCTGGGTAAAGCTCTCATCAGCTGCAATAGTATCGATTTTAGTGTACTGGTTTGGCTTGAATTTTATTCCATGAGATTCATCTGACTCCAGATAGTAGAGATTGAAAGTTTCCTTGCAGGTTCCCAGTACCCATGGAATACTGTTGCAGTCCCTCAGAGTAAACTTCATTTCCACATAAATTTTCTGTGCAGCATCACGGGAGATCCAGTTCGTCTGAAGCCAGTTGTTTTGATTTGGTTCCATCACATTACATACCTGGTAAGTATGAATGGGACGATTGTGTTCATCCATTTCAGTTATGGCATCCCACTGCAATGAAAATAAAATTGTTTGAAAACTAGGAAAAATACATATTATGCATATACATAAAGCCCATTTATAAACACACGCACACACCATTTACATGCATCTGTGGCTTAAATAGGAATAGTTATTTACTTACAGTTTAAAGGAAAGACAGTAGTTAAAAGCAGATACCAACTATATAATGATACAACAATTTTGTTTCAGAAACTCTATGATAAATTTCTATTAATAATAACATTTAAAAATCAATGTGACTCAGCAGAAGATGGAAATACCGGCCATGTTTATATTAGCAAATTTAGTAAGTCTGGTAACATTCATGGGCATCTTATTCAATCATCTATGACCATTACATAAGAGTCTCGCTTGGTATACTGGTGGGCTGGCTCTCTGGCAGTCCTCCAAACCAATTCCCACAGCTTAGGCACATAGCACCGGCCAGGCACTTGCAGCAGTCAGCAGCTGGGATGTAACCACACTGGTTTGGTGGGTCTCAGGGTTTTGGTGTAGGTTGCCCAGGGTTTACACAACTGTCCTAGAAACATTTAGCTACACAGACATGTTACATTTCTGGCTCCACAGGGCCCGAATTACACTTACTTCCACTAACAATAAAAAGCCAACCAAAACACATCCCCCAAACCACTAAACTACTGTGGGAAAATAGACTTTATCTGTTCACCTTTTTCGGTGAAAGAGGAAGGGATTAGTTAAGAGTTTGGTCTTTATTTTCAGAAGAATTTCCAGGTATCAGATGACAAAGGCCTATGCGAACATGTAAAAAAACTAGCTGGCTTTACTTCAAGTTTTAGGGGTGATTCACATATATCTCCAAGACCTTCCACGTAATTTTTATGTAAAAACACTACACAATACAAAAGCACAGCACACACAAAAACAACTTGGTGGGGGAAGGAGTGCACCTTCTTCTTTAGAGGAGAACTAATCCATCATGGCAGAAGCAGCAGAAAAAAAAAAAATTAAAAAATTACACATCTGTGCCTTCATTAGCCAGAAAACTTTGATTTTAAACAGTGGTTAGAATTTATCTGGAAAACGGAATTCCAAATGTTGCCAGATGTAATCAGAGGATTTGGATTCCTGATCACTGCAGCACATACTTTGGAGGTATGCAGAAAAATAGGGTAAGTGAAGGCCTTTACAGGCCATCACTTTGGGGGATTGCTCCTATCACAGCAAGAATGATAACGTCATCTGAATGTCCTGTCCTGAGAATCATAAAACGTACTTCTTATATGATAGACAGACATTGGCAAATACCTGGCAAACAATCTGCTGACTCTATAGAGACTTTTATGTGGCCAAGGGCTTTTGGCCTCAACACCTTGTGCACATTCACAAAGTGCAAAGCCACTACTTCAGCATTCATGGCAAGATCAGAACAAATTTAGATTTGGTCAAAATTGTACGATGAGGAACTTCTTAGCACATGGCTTCCCGTCCCATTGTTCCCAAACTGGTTTTAACAATGATTAAAGTTCACACTGTAGCAAGCAATATAATATCCCAAGTAGATCTTGGTTTGGGGAAAGCAGAAAGGGACTTTCAAGCTCTGCTGGGCCAGGCCTCTCCCCTTTTCCCAACCATGAAGCCACACAGCTGGAATTGAATCAAAACCCTACAGCCATGAAGGAATAAAGAAAATTAAAATTACTTTTAATATTAAAAAAAAAAAAGATCCACAGCTCCAAGCCTTAAAATCTCAATAGAAGACGTTCTTTAAAAACATAACAGATAAGTCTCTCAGTCACTGATCCACATTTTGCCTGCCACATCTGTTACATAAACCAACTACATAATTTTTCTTCTCATATAAAACATGTACTGTAAGTTTAAGCATTATTACACAAATTTATTATACAAAAATATAGCTACAATGTAGAGTTAGGGGAAAAAAAAAAAAACAACCCAGAAGTACACAAGGTTTTCTGCATTTATTGGCATATCAAACCATCTTAAAAGGAAGATGTGTTATATGCTCCAAAAAGGTCTCCAAAAAAAACCCAAAACAAATCACACCCACAAAAAAATCGAACCAATCCCCCCAAAAAACAAACCCCTCAAAACCAACTACCACACAAAAAAAGCCCATCACACCAAAACCAGAACAGAGGAGTAGTAGGTGGAATGACAGTGTAGTTTTAAAATATATGTTAGTCTTCAGAAATGGAATAAACTATCTTAAAGAAAAAAGCCTCAACATACTACTGATTCTTTAAAAAGTTATGAAAAAAATCCAACGTATCTTCCCTTTACCATGAGATTCTCTTCAGAAATATTTATATATTCACTTTTGAATAAATTTCTGAATTTGAACATAGAAATTAAAGCCAGAAGTTAGCTGCCAACTACATAGTTAATAATATAAACCTATTACTTTGTAGGAAAGTAAAAGCTCAGCACTTTGATAACTGCTTTAAAAGACTGAAAAAAGATGAATTGATCAAACACAGTTCTTTAGTTCCTTCAAAGCAGACCTTGCATGCTTCATGCTTGTGCCTTTACATAGTATTCCCAGATAACCTGCTGACAACTCCAAATTTATAGAATTCATATATTGTGCAAGAAAAACATTTAAGAGGCATTTGAAAAATGTTTAACAATAGTAGTTTGATCATCATAGATGTAAAATATTTTTTAAAAAGTTAACAACTAACATTTCAATGTAGTCATCGTGTTAATATGTACTGTATAAGGGATGCTTAAAAATACAGCTGTGAGCATGTGGCATGTGTTCTTAATTGCTAGTCTCATCTATTGAGGGCAAGTGAGGTGAATTTCTCCACCCCATAAGATCACCGTGATTTACAGAAACTCAATCTGTGATAGTCTCTGACAAGGACAAGTCCTGCTGGATGAAATACAATCTGCTTTTAATTTTATGTAACTGTTGGAGGTTTTTTTTTTGTGATTAAAACATCCAGGAAACATTATTCAATAATTAAATTCAGTACAGACAAATAAAAGCCAAACAATTTCTCAAATACACACTAGTTTTATTTTGGGTATATTTCATATCATAGCTCCTAATTAAATGAAACATATTTATAACCATCTAAGTTGTGCAAAATTATTCTTTACTTAAACCTTAAAAACAAATTAACAGAAGCATCTCATTGGTGATGTTTGCTCAAAATGTGGTAGCTTCCTCCCAGAATACCTAACCTGACATGGACAAAAGCTAGCAGAATCTCTCTAGTTTAGACAAGCTGACAAGTTCACACTTCCTTCAAACTAAGCCCCTTGGCATCCCAATGCACTGCATTACTTTCAAAAATTTTGGATTACATTCCTTTCAAACAAGAAAAGTCTCCAATAAGGCTGATGGAAGCAGCAGCAGCATGAAGCTAATTCTTATAACTGGAGTTCCAGGGCTTATGAAGAAGTGTCACAAACACGGTTTGGAGGAACGACTTCAAAATTCTATTTTTACATTATAATCAACAGTAGCATGGATAAGAGGCTACATTTTACTTTCACACATGGCATTCAGAGGAGTAAATGTCACTAAAAAAGATGAACATGGAATTTGAAGATTGGTACAGAGCATATTTTAAAATTACTTATCACGTTCAAGTACAAAATATGAAATTAGGCTACAAACCATATAGATTTTAGTTAAATAAAATCTCAACTGTTTTCATACCTCTACATTACAATGTTTCCATTTCATTTTAGAACTTCAGTAATATTTAACAGCTGTACAGAGAACACTATAAAGAACACTGCCTAATTTAAGTCTTATACTAGCTACATATAATACTGAAATCCATTTTCAGTGTTCCCCATTTTGTTATTCTTACTTTAAACCAAACACTACAAATTTACAAAACCAGAAAGAGCCATTTGTTACAATTCAGTAAGCTTTATGACCAAAGTCTGTATGAACATTACAAAAAGAGAGACTGCATTTCACATATTTTATGTTATTTTTAAATACCTTACAGTCTGATAAGAAAATGTCTTAATGATACCATACTACAGAAAAGTAAACACAGTAGACCAGTTTCAGCTTCATGGAAGCTGTCATAGCTTCCCTGAATACATCAGTTATTTCATCAAAGTCTGAATCTTGATTATCTTACCATGATAAGGATCTTAAGCAAAAAGAAAAGATGTTGAATGTATGATTGGCATGATTTGCCGATTTGTACTAACCATACAAAACATTAGTTTTAGAGAGGGAACACAGAACAGAAAGGACTGAAAGGCTATTAGCTCACCTGGCTATCACCCCTAGCCCTCTGTGGCAGCACTGTAAAGCTGCATGTTCTCATGTCAACCCTACAGCTCCTCTTTGACTTCCTCTTCTCCCTCTTCTGCTGCCTGTGGGCACCTGAGAGCAGTCATGGCACTGCACCAGAGCCAGGAATGGTGTATCTTTTCCATGTGTGAAGACATGCACTGCAGGCTCTTGTCCACCATGCCACTTGAGCCTTGTTTCCCATGTTGGCAGTCTCCATTGTACCATTTGCATAGAAACAAGACCAAGCAGATTCTCACTGTTTAGCAGCAGCCCTATTTGCGTTTGAGGAATTCATTACCGTATTTTATTTGCATGTCAACGTTACTGTAAGAAGCTTTCCCAGTTAATAGGGAGGGATAGTTATATAAAGGAGTTGAAAATGTCTATTTTGTAATGAGCTGATACCTAGATAATGTCACATGCACTGAAAGACTTTTCCCACAGGTTGTCACACTGACGGATAAATTAATAATTGGTTCTTTATCTCCGATAATAGCTGTTCAGGCACTGATCACAGCAGCAGTCTGGTAACCTAGGATGTCAGCTTTAGCACTTTGCACAGCTCAAGGTTCTTTTTATTGACATTTTTCTTCATTTAAAGGAAAAAGTAGGAACACTCTTTACTTAGGCCCATGCTCTTACTCATTGGTTTAAAGAAATGGAACAGACCATCTGCCCTTTCAAATTTTGCTGCGTTTGTATCCTAATGCAGAAAATTCCCTCCCCTTTCTCACTA